TTTATTTTATTTTATTTTATTTTATTTTATTTTATTTTATTTTATTTTTACAATAAATTTTATTTTTACAATAAAGACCAGCCATGAGGAGCACAATTCCTGCATCTGACGCTAAAACACTTCAGTAAAAGAGTGTGTTGTGATGTCTCTGAAGCACAGTTAAAAATACCTAATTTTCATAAAGCTGCATTACAAGCTGTTACATAACGTACTAAAACATAAAACATCTAAGAGTCTCAAAGTGCAGTAATTTGAGTTTTTAATCCGTGTTTAACGCGAATGAGTTTTTGATTATAATCCCTCCTGGAACTCCTGTAAGTCGTGCAGATCTGCGCTGCCATATTGAACCTCACGGGGACTGAAGAAGAAGAAAATACCTCCATTTAACATGCTTTCCATAAACACAGTTATTAGGAGTTATGCCTCAGAGTGATGCTTAGCTTAGCAAGAATTACCAACGATCTCTTGACGTGTATTTCATTAACCTGTAGGGTGTTTGCCAAGAAACTGAGTGCATCTGTTTACATTAGTTTTACTTAAAGTGACTAAGTTAATTGTAGGATGCAAGGTTTGGGGTCAGAATTATGTATTGGGGTCCCATGAAATTAAGTAAGTAAGTAATGTGTATTTATATAGCACATTTATCGTGTATGGGCATAGATGAAGTGGAGAGACGGAGATAGAGCCAATTCGGTGGATGGGGAGGGTTGAGAGGCCATGATGGTTAGGGCTGATAGAGGAATTTAGCCAGGACACTGGGAATATACCCTTACTCTTTATGCGAAGTGCCAAGGGATTTTTAATGGTCACAGAGAGTCAGGACCTCATGCAAACTGCTGGATGGGGGGGGTGTGTGCATTGGGGTTATCGTGAACGAAAGAGAAAAGTTGAATGGGTGGGGGAGATAGAGCAGGGGGATGGGGTGGTGCGTGTGCAGGATGAAAGTTAAGAGCAGGGCAATTGTAACCTTAGGATAAGATGCTCACTATTCGGATAGAAACTTGTAACTTTGGTGGCCCAAAACATGGCATGAGCCCTTAGAACTTAGAAATTTCCCTACCATAGTTGCACCCCTGAGTATCAACATGTAACTATCTATAAGTATCTATGAGCTCACCTCATCAGTTTCTTATTAAATCTTCTGACCAATTAAATGCTCTCTAGTATCTGACATGCCCCGCCCTCTTCTTCTCATTTGCTTTTCATTTGATGCACTTGAGCTCAACCAATCTGAATGGTAGAGCTGTCATAAAAACAACGCTATTGACTGTTTTTTTAGAAGGGGGAGGAGCTACTGTATGTCCTGCCCTCTCCATGATTCAGATAAGATTATGTCAAAGAGCAAATAAAAAAATGCACATTTCAAAACACTTCATTGGATCTTTTACATTGATTACATTAAATTATATTAAATTAATTACAAAATAAAATAAAGTAAAATAATAAAATAAAGTAAATAAAATAATTAATAAAATAAGGTAAAATAAAATAACAAAATAAAGTAAAAAATTAACAAAAATAAAAAAACTAAATAAGTTATAAAAAGTAAAACAAAATAACAAAATACTTTAAAAATAATCTAAAGTAAAAAAAAAATA